CTATATATACTGTACACACACCGTTTAAACTGAACACACCTGCGAAAGACCTTCACGTAACTTCAGTGACTTTAGTGCCTTCAGTTAAATGTAGCGGCGTCATTCCATGTTCCAAACGTGTGCAACCTACAAAATTAATAAGAACTGGGGAAGTGTATGAATCCTTCCTATTGTTTCATCCGTCCCAGGAGGACGACCAGGTGGAGACTCCGGAGACTCCATTTTTGACCAGTGCCGAGAAACCCAAGGCAGATGTCAGTGGGATTGTCACTTTTACTGAATAAATTTTGACTATATAATATATATATATAACACACCTGCGAAAGACCTTCACCTTAACTTTAATGACATCAGTTAGAATGCGGCGCCGTCTTTACATGTTCCAACATGTGCAACCGGCTTCTTTTTTTTGCTTGACCAGGAGGATGACCAGATGGAGACTCCAGGTTTGGCACGGGTCAGTGCCGAGAAACCCGAGGCAGATTTCACCGGGGTTGTCACTTTCAAGAGGGTTTCCTTCATATTTATTCAATATGTGTGTGTTTCTGCTCTGCAAACGCATATATATATAATTATGCGTATATATATATATATATGTATGTGTGTTTGGGTAAATATACATAAAATTGTAGGAATTTCATCGCTCCTCCTCCAGGAGGTTTGGAAAGAATCTCTACAGTCAGTCAAGAAGCGCAGTGATGGCATGTGCGTGGGCCTTCTTATCAAGAAAACGTATGCTGAGCGATTTTTGCGTCCAGAGCCACACCAGAAAGTCTATGAGATCCGCTCTATGCCTTGCAAAAACCTCTCACCTGGTGAAAAGATCTGCATCATCAGCAGTGGCCATGGCACAAAAGGTCGGGTGAGTTGCAGGTTTATTGTGGGCGTCTTTGAGTTCAAAGGACAGCTGCAAGTGCCAAAGAACCTCGTGCCAAAATATTATGCGCTTCACCAAGTATCCCAAGAAGAATTTGATGCGGTCGGAACGAGTTGGCAAGGAGATTCTGTTTGGATGTGGCATTTGGAGCTTGTGACCGCCTTTGACCCACAGTTGGAGCTGCCTGTTTCCATTGGCCCTCAGGTTTGGATCCATTTTGACCCGAACACATGCTCACAGGGAATGGTCGCTGTGCAGGACAATGCAAACCGCACTCTCTGTGTCTGTGTGTGCTTCGATTCATTTTCACCCACCCACCCCACCCCACCCCACACCTATAAGTTAAGTAGTATGCCTCCATTTAGGATTCACCAGAGAGGGTCTGGGAGGGCTTGGGGGGAGACGGTGACAGGGACCGGACGCGTGAATCTACACAAGGGATATCCAACAACACGGACTGAGGCTCACACAACGAAGTTCCTTAGCAATGACCATGCACCAGTTGTCGCAATCAGGAGGAAAGGAGGAGGAGGAGGAGGAGTGACTTGAGGAGAGGAAGGTAAGGAGAGCGAGAGCAGCAAGCGATCTGATTGGCACGGCTGGAGGCTAGGAGCAAAAGCGGTGGAGCTAGGGTGCTCTTGTGGGATGCTCTTGTGGGACATTGTTGCTGAACACTCTTGTAGGACACTCTTATGGGACACTCTACACTCTTGCGTGATACTCTTGCGGGACACTCTTGCGGAACACTCTTGTAGGACACTCTACACTCTTGCAGGACGC